TAGTAAATAGTGGGCTTGCATGTAAAAGTAAAGGCACGGTGAATATTTTTCACCTCACGAGGTGAGGTTTTGTTTTACATTAGATCAATTCATGGTAAAAAAATTTATTTGCATGTACATTATGCACCAAAGAAACGTATGAATGCTATACCCCACCTATTTATAAAGTATAGGTGACCTCACTTCTCGAATGCCCCATCTAAACAGACGGCTGAGGTTACTCATGTCACAATGTCACATCAAAATAATGTTTGATTTTTAATTTTTTTTTCTGCAAAAATTTTGCGAATGAAATTTGGTGTACCCCTCTTCTTATTTGGGTGCACCTAGCAAAAATGGGAAACCTTATTTTTTATAAAACTAAATGAACAAAATGCCCCTATAAATTTTAGAAATATTCTTGCAATTACTATCATAGAAAAAAAAATTTGTTATTATTATCTTGTGCGCCCTAGATATATGGCTGGCACAAATTTTTCTGTATAATGACTTATAGAATAAAAATTAAAAATATAACACAGTGAGTCAAGATCAAGATCTAACGCTCAAGAGGTTTACTATTATGAGACAGCTGAGAGCAGGTCTCATATACTTTACTTTACATGTGGGAGGGATCATATTTAAAGCTTCCCCGTCTCTAAATTGTTGAATTGGTGTTTGACACAATAATTTGGGTGTTTAATGCACATTCTAAGGAGCAAGCAAAAGCATTCGAGTATAATGTGGTGCCAGTTTAAGTCTAACCACGCAGGAGAAATAAAGTCTTAAAACATTTACGGCTTTTTTCTTTTTTCTTTTTTCTTTTTTTTCTTTTTTTTCATGGCCGACTATTTATTGATGGTTTGTACATTCTGGCCACATGTGTTCGCTCTGGATTTTCATAGAAGGAAGTGAAACATATCAAGTCACTCTAAACACCTCTGACCTGCAGAGAGTTAACTGGAACACCCAAGAAAAAGAAAAAAAGATTTATGATAAACTATTTTTCAGGTTCAAAATCTGTGTTTTTGGATTCATGATCATACTGGTTGATATTACAAATCTTCTAATTTATGGATTGGCATTTGAATAATTGTGTGAGCTGACTTACCAACCCTATGATTCACAGATTTGGATAGCTAAGATTATTTTTATTGTCTGCTTTTTGTTTCGACATACTAATATTATTTATATAGCTTTTGTTGATATCAATGTGAATATATTCCCCTAGATTGATTCCAAACTCACCTCTTCTAAGTGGTTGTTTCAAACTATTGGAAAAGGTTTATATAAGGTAGGAACTAAACAATCAAAACTAAGGCGCACCTCAAAAATTCACTAAATGAAGTTGTTTTGATGCTCAAAGATCCTCAAATTGATTCTCAATCTCAAGATGTATGGATAGAGGAAAAATGGATTCAAGTCTTGAACATAGTGCATCTTGTTATGCATTTTTGAACTGTCAATTTCTACGTTTTTTAAGTGTTCATCATACTATTTTTGAAGCTTTAAATTTTATAATTAGAGTTGAAAATAAATTTCTAAGCCATCACAAAGATTCCAGTATTGAAACAACATCTTTATACATTATTTAAAGGTGCCCCTTACTTTGATTGAGTTTCTGGAATTAGAACCAGATATTTACATCTCCTTGGCAGTAACTTGAGCCTTAGCCATGAGTCATATATGATAGAACACACTAAGTTTCTTTCCCCCCGTTCTTCGGATTAATTAATTATAATCAATTTGTTTCAAAATTTCATAAAATATGATTTTGGGTTTATAAAATACACATTCTTAGCGACAATCCTTTCCAGGCATGAGATAGCGGGGATTGTAACAGAGGTCGGAAGCAATGTGAAGGAGTTCAAGGTGGGTGACAAGGTCGGGGTTGGGTGCATGGTTGGGGCATGCCATACTTGCGAGCCTTGCGAGAAAAGCCTTGAAAATCAATGCCCCAAAATGATTTTAACCTATAACTCAATCGACTATGACAGCACTATGACCTATGGTGGCTATTCAGACAAGTTAGTTGTTCACAAGCGCTATGTTATTCGCTTGCCTGAAAACCTACCGCTCGATGCTGCTGCTCCTTTGCTATGTGCAGGGATCACTGTGTATAGCCCCATGAAATATTTTGGCCTCGCAGAGCCTGGTAAGCATCTTGGGATTGTAGGACTTGGTGGACTTGGTCATGTTGCTGTAAAGTTTGCCAAGGCATTTGGGGTCAAAATTACAGTCATTAGTTCATCGCCTAGCAAGGAGAAAGAGGCCATTGACATGCTTGGTGCTGATAAGTTTCTCGTGAGCCATGATCCAGAGCAAATGCAGGTAAGAAATCAATCTGAAGCACTTTTTATTCCATGCAATTGCTTAGTAAGTAATATATGGGTACATGGTTTGTCTTGGATAGGCAATTGATTAGTTTCAGTGATTATATATTATGAATGATTTCTTTTTGGAAATTGCTTGTGGTCCATGTTTAAAGCTGGATAATTCATCAAACACCTCCTGGTTATTAGTTTGTTGGATGGATCGTTGACAAGAACATTGTATGCCTTGATCTGTTTATCCATATGAGTTCCATATTTATGGTTGCTTTTGTTTGTTTAATTTTTCTCCAGGCTGCTATGGGTACCATGGATTATATCCTCGACACGGTTTCTGCTGAGCACCCATTGGTACCATTGCTCTCTTTACTCAAGACCAACGGAAAGCTGATTATGGTGGGGCTGCCTGAAAAGCCCTTGGAACTTCCCGCTTTCCCTTTAATTCTTGGTAAGAAAAACCATCCCTATCTCCCTTTCTCTCATGCGTGTTATTTATTTCCTTAGGGTGCGTTTCATTTCAGGGAGATTTTGTAAGTGGGAATTGAACATCCCACATCCATGTTTGATTTTACTATATGGTTGCACTATGAGGAAGTGTGCCCTTCCATGCAGTATTTTTTTAATGTCAAAAATGAACATTTTTGGAACACCGCCCTTCCATCAAAATGATGAAAGAGCGGTCTTCCATAGTTTGTGGGAGACCCCCTCCCACTCCCAAAATCTTTTGTCGTCCAACACGTCCTTAGTTACTTTTGTTTCATTCAGAGCTGTGTGCATAACTGAAGATATTGTGAGAGTTCCACCTCTTTATACAGACATGCCTAAGACCCTAAGCTATTAGAAAAATCAAGCCTCATCAGCTGGAATATGATAAATTCTACTTGGTTATTATTGTAGGGAGGAAGGTTATAGGAGGAAGCTTGATCGGTGGGATGAAAGAGACGCAAGAGATGATCGATTTTGCCGGCAAACACAACATCACTGCTGATATTGAGCTTATAAAGATAGACTATGTGAACACTGCCATGGAGAGGTTGGCAAAAGCTGATGTGAGATTTCGCTTTGTGATAGATGTGGCCAACTCCTTGTCAGCTTAATACTAGAAGTCCACTTGCTGGCCTTTAGAAGTCTGAATAAGACTATGAATTGTGTTTTCATTCTGTTTTCTCCAATGGCTTCTCATTTTTTGTTTCTAAGAGGGGTGATATCGTGCACTGTGCTCTGATTTTGGGAATTGAATCTTGAATTCTTGAGATATTCACCATTGAGAATATAGTTTTCTTCTCTAGAAACTTTCTACATGATGGGTGCATTATCTTTGTCTTTTTGTTTTGTTTACCGTGGAGTGGAATGTTGAAAATTCCTCAACATTGAGTTCCTTTTTAATGTTAATTCAATACATATATGACAGATATGAACAATATTGAGTAATCATTCGAGTCCACGGGAAAGTTACGCCTTCTAAATTTGTTTTTTCATGTTTGGTAAATGAGAAATATTTATCCAAACAAACTTCATGGAGCTCTTTTTTTTTTGAGCTTCAAACACCACTAGATCTCTTTCCAAGAAAAAAAACGTCATGGGGTACACCGCTCTATGAAATGTGAGAAATCTCTCTTATTTTTATAGGAACGTTGCGTCATACAAAGAAGGAATATCTCTTGTTGAGAACCACTGAGGTATATTTGATGAAAATCTCTCTTAAGAGAGTTTCCCACTGGTAAGGCCTGCTTTTAGCAAAGCAATTTCGTACCAAAATAAGTACAAAATGCATTTCCGTCATTTTTACATTGGCAGGATGTTATGTAAGAAAGTGCATTTCAATGGTTGTTTGTCCATTGAACCAAACATGTGGATGTTGTGGTGAGCTGAGAAACCTCTCTATAGTAGAGAAAAAATCTCTCTTTAGGACAGAAGTTTCCCACAAATATAAAGTCATTATTTATTGCGAACAGATATGGCAACTATAACATTTATGGCAACTGGATATTGAGATGTGTCAGTGTCTAATTGTATGCTATACATATATAGAAACTGTATCTTATAGTTTTAACAAGTATTGCATGTATATTCTCTATAAATCTACGATTGTATTGTAGTCTAATTCAATTTGATTGAATAGAGAGAATGATTGTTTCTCATATAGTATCAGAGTTTGGTTCTTCAGAAGAACACTTCTCAGTCTTCCTGAGGTTCGATCTCATTCTCTTTGTCTCTCTCAGTCTCCTTATCTCTCTCTCTATGTCATGGATGCCCCACTTCTCTCTCTAACAGATCTCCTATCTCTCCTCTCTTTCTCTCTCAAGATCTCTCCTCTCTCTCTCTCTCTTGGTCTCTGATCTCTCTCTCTTATCTTTGTGATCTCTCGCTCTTATCTCTGTGATTTCTCTCTCTGTCTATGATCTCTCTTTCCCTTTTATTTCTCCATCTTAGTATCTCTTTGATCTCTCTCTCGATCTCTAACCTCTCTCTACTCTCTCGGTCCCTCTATTATCTTTCTATCTATTTTATCTTATCTATCTCTGATCTTTGTAATCCATCTTATTTCTCTTTAACCTCTCAAACATTTCTTCCAATCTCTTTCAAAATCTCTCTCAGATCTCTACTTTTTCTATACTATCTATGTGATCTCTTTCTCTCTTATCTATGAGAGATTTCTCTCTCTCTCTCTCTCTCTCTCTCTCTCTCTCTCTCTCATCTATCTCTCCCTTTTATTTATCAGTCTTGGTATCTCTCTGATATTTCTCTCGATCTCTAACCTCTCTCTAATCTCTCGTTCTCTATATTATCTTTCTCTCTTTTTTATCTTATCTATCTCTAATCTTTGCAATCCCTCTCATTTTTCTTTAACCTCTCAAAGATTTCTCTCAATCTCTTTTAAAATCTGTCTCTAATCTCAAATCCCTATTTTTTTTATACGCTCTATCGGTATTTCTATTCTCTCCCTATTTTCTCTCTCTTGTAGATCTCACGGTACTTCTCTCTCTCTACTATATGGATCTCTCCCTATTTTCTCTCACAATTTCTCTCCCTATTTTCTCTCAGGGTCTCTCCCTATTTCCTCACACGACTTCTCTCTCCCTCTTTATCCTCTCAAGATTTCTCTATTGATGTTCTCTTTATGTTTTCTCTCTCCCTCTATATCTTTTCATTCCCAGCTTGCGCTGACCCCTCCTTCTCATTTACCTCGTTGACTCCTCCCTCACTATTCTTTTCCCTTCAATAGAAAAATCAGAGTCTTTCCAACTTATACCCATTAAACTCAATAGTACCAACTACATATTTTGGGCCTCGTTTATGTGGCATGTCATTCATAGAAAATGACTCCTCAGATATATAGATGGGACCCAAAAGAAACTTGATGAGCTAGGAAAAATAGAAGAATGGGGTATAAATAGTGCTCAAATTATAGCATGGCAGAAAGGATCATCAGAGAGTAATGAATCTGAGCACTTTCGAAACTGCTCAAGAAGCATAAAAATTCTTTGAGAAAATTTATAATAAGACTAATTGGGCACGCAAGTACCAGTTACTACAGGAACTTCGCTCCCTCGGACAATGAGAGCAGTCCATTCAGGACTTTTACTCTTCTATGAAAACACATTGGGATGCTCAAGCACTTATGGAACCTACAATTGAAGATGGTCCTAGTACAAAAATAATTGCCTAATCTCAATAGGAATTTCAAGTTATTGAATTTTTAATAGCACTCTATCTAGAGTTTAAAAGTGTCAGAAATGGCCTTGTCCAAAGAACTTTTCTCCCCACTCTGAATCAATCTCTTTTTTTTCTAATTGCAAAAGAAACCAAGATTAGATCTCTTAACTCAGGTTTTAAAGAAGAAACAGTTTTTGCAGCAACCCATCCTCAGAGATCAAATGTACCTTAACAACATCAGCGCAATTCATACTATATCCATCCCAAGAACATGTCATCTGTCAGATGTAATTATTGTTAAGATCTGGGACACACCAAGTACACATGGCCCAAGAAGAAGAAACACATCTTCGCTGTTGTTGTTGATACAAGTCAATCATTGCTCAAGTACCCACCAACTCAAACTAGATATCATAGTCCCACTCTTGTTTCACCAACTGTGACATTTACACTTGAACAAATACAGGATATGCTTTCTCATTCACATCTGGCCTCTGAACCTACCCCCTCTTTCTTAGGTAACTTTGTTTCTACCTCTTGGCTGATCGACTCAAGAGTTTCTCATCATATGCCCTCTAATGAGTCAATTCCAGTTGATTATAAGTCTTTTTGTGATAATATCTATAATGCTCATGGAGCCACTATGAAAGTTTCAAAAATAGGCTCCATATCTGTTACCTCTGACCCTTCTGGTAAATTAAGGGTTTTTAATGTTTATTATGTTCCTTCCCTTGCCATGAATTTGTTGTATGTCAGTCAGATTACTCGTTCAAACTATCATGGTATTTTTTCTCCATCTTCTTGCTACATACAAGATCAGCAATTAGGGCAATTGATTGGGACTTGACGTAAAGTTGGAAATTTGTACTACCTGGACTGCTGCATATCCAACCTCTTCTTTCTGTATTGTTTCTACTGTTGATGACGCATCTCTTTGGCATCATCATCTTGGTCACATCTCTGGTTCTCGTTTACAGTTTTTATTTTCCCACAATGTGCTTAGTATTTATTGTTAGAAATAAAAATTTTACTGATGTCCAACATAGTGCAACTTGCAAATTCACTAAATCTCATGCTTTACCTTTTTTTCGAAGTACTTTCATTTCACTTCTATGTTTGATCTTGTTCAAACTGATGTATTGGGTCCTGCACTGATGCTATCTAAAGGAGGGTCATGATATTTTATAACCTTTATTGATGATCACACTCGTTATACATAGGTTTTCTTTGTGAATAATCGCATTGAATTTTATAAAATTTTCACCCAGTTTTATTCATATATAGAAACTCAAATTTCCACGAAGATAAAAGCATTACGCTCATTTTCTAAAGGGGAATATATTAGTGGGTTACTCCAACAGTTTTTGGCTGATAAAAATATTGAACACCAAAAAACATGTCCTTATACCCCAGAATAAAATGGTGTTACCGAACGTAAAATCCATCATATCTTGGAAACCACAAGATTCCTGCTTTTGTCTATATCTGTTTCAAAAGGATTTTAGGCAGAAGCTACTCGTACACCAATCGTTCTCATCAACATCATGCCATCCTTCAATTTATATGGCAAAACACCTTTTCAAAACTCTTTACACGATCACCCGATTATTCCCTCTTCTATGTATTTGGTTGTACTTGCTTTGTCTTGTTACCCCCAACTAAAAGAGATAAGTTATCTCTAAAATTTGTCAAATAATGCTTCATAGGTTACCTTCAAAAAGGATATCGATGTTATGATCTCATGACCAAAAGACTTTGAGTATCCCAACATGTGGTGTTTTTTGAAACATTCCATTCTTTAAAAATAAAAATTATCTCTCACCCTCTCACCTTTCTTTATTGGTCCCCTTCTCTGATTTTTGTCCCAATTCCTCTAGTAATTCCACATGTGTTCTTCCATCTGAAGCTCAGGAAGGAACTGTACCACTTCATGCTGACAGTCCTGATCAGAACCATGTACTTGTTGATCCTCTACCTCTCCCTGCTCCTAGACGGAGCATGCAGGTATCTGTCCCAGCTGCTCGAATCCTGCACCTATTGATCCTATGTCGCTCCTTACTCCTAGACGGAGCACCTGGGTATCTATCCTACTTGCTCGACTCGCTGACTATGAAACCGTTTTACCTTAGCACCAAGCATTCTTTGTTTTTGTTCATTCTTTTCCCAAAAAGCGGACTTATATAGAAGCTGCAAGTCAACTTGAGTGGAATAGAGCAATGGTTGATGAGTTGAATGCCCTCGAGCGTATGCTTGGGATATGACACCTCTCTTGAAAGGAAAAACTGTTGTAGGTTATCGATGGGTATATGAAATTAAAACCAACACAGATGGCAGCATTGAATGATACAAAGCCTGTCCGGTAGCGAAAGGTTACAATCAATAATACGGCATTGACTTTGTAGAAACTTTTGCTCATGTCGCTCATATGACTACAGTTCGT